AGAAGAAATGGATGAATTCCTAGAAATATACAACCTTCCAATACTAAATCATAAAGAGGTAGGAAATCTGAACAGACCAATAATGAGTAAAGAAATTGCATCAGTAATAAAAAGTCTCCCATCAAAGATAAGCTCAAGACCTGATTACTTCATTGCTGAATTCTACCAAACATTTAAAGAAGGGCTAATATCAATCCTTCTCAAACTCTTCCAAAAAATTGAAGAAGAGAGAATACTTCCAAACTTATTTTATGAGGCTGGAATTACCATGATCCAAGGCCAGACAAGGACACTACAAGAAAAGAAAATTATAAGCCAATATCCCTGATGAATAAGGATGCAAAAATCCTCAACAAAATACTAGCAAACTGAATTCAACAGCATATTAAAAGGCTCATTTACCATGATCAAGTGGGATTTGATCATGACATTTCTAGTTTTATTCCCTGGGATGCAAGGATGGTTCTACATATGCAAATTAATAAATGGGATCCACCACATTAACAGAATGCCATATGATCATATCCATAGATGCAGAAAAAGCAACTGACCTAATTCAACATCCTTTCATAATAAAAACTCTCAATAAATTAGGTATAGAAGGAATGTACTAAACGCCATATATTACAAGCCCAATTATCACATTTCATTCTGAAGAGTTGAAAGCTTTTCCTCTAAGATCAGGAACGAGACAACGATGCCCATTCTTGCTGCTTCTATTCTACATAGTACTGGAAGTCCTGGCCAGAGCAATGAGGCAAAAGGAAGAAATAAAAGGCATCCAAATTGGAAATTAAGAAGTCAAATCATCTCTGTTTGCTGATAACATGATCTCATATACAGAAAACGCTAAAGAGTCCACCAAAAAACTGTTAGGACTGATAAATGAATTCAGTAAAGCTGCAAAACACAAACTCAACACACAAAAATCAGTAGCATTTCTTCACATTAACAATGAACTATCTGAAAAAAATCAATCCTATTCACAATAGAATTAAAAAAATACTTAGGAGTATATTTAACCAAGGAGGTAAAAGACCTGTATCCTAAAAACTATAAAACACTTATGAAAGAAAAAGTAGATAATATAAACAAATGGAAAGATATCCATGTTGATGGACTGGAAGAATATTGTTAAATTGTAACACTACCCAAAGCAATAACAGATTCAATGCAATCTCTATCAAAATTCCAATCTCATTTATCACAGAAATAGGAAAAACAATCCTAAAATTCATATGGAACCACAAAAGACCCTGAATAGCCAAAGCAATCTTGAGCAAGAAGAACAAGGCTGGAGTCATCGCACTATTGATTTCAAAAATCTATTATAGGCCGGGCGCGGTGGCTCACGCCTGTAATCCTAGCACTCTAGGAGGCCAAGGTGGGCGGATCGTTATGAGCTCAGGAGTTCGAGACCAGCCTGAACAAGAGCGAGACCCCGTCTCTACCAAAAATAAAGAAATTAATTGGACAGCTAAAAATATATATAGAAAAAATTAGCCGGGCATGGTAGCGCATGTCTGTAGTCCCAGCTACTCGGGAGGGTGAGACAGTAAGATCGCTTGAGTCCAGGAGTCTGAGGTTGCTGTGAGCTAGGCTGACGCCACGGCACTCGCCCCAGGCAAGAGAGTGAGACTCTGTCTCAAAAAAAAAAAAAAAAAGCTATTATAAAACTACCATAATCAAAACAACATAGTACTGGTATAAAAACAGACACAACAACCAATGGAACAGAATAGAGAACCCAGAAATAAACCCACATATTTATGGTCAACTGATTTTTGACAAAGGTGCCAAGAATACACAATGGGGGACAGGACAGTCTTCAATAAATAATGCTGAAGAAAGTTGTTAACCACATGCAGAAGAATGAAATTAGACCCATATCTCACACCATACAAAATAATCAACTAAACGTGGATTAAAGACTTAAATGTAAAACCTGAAACTGTAAAACTACTAGAAGAAAACATAGGGGAAATGCTCCACAACAATGTTCTGGGCAAAGATTTCTTGGATATTATCCCAAAGCACAGGAAGTAAAAGCCAAAAAAAAAAGGGGTAGGGGGGGATTACATCAAACTAAAAAGCTTCTACACAGCAAAGGAAACAATAAAGACACAACCCATTAGGAGAAAATATGTGCAAACTATACATCTGATAAAGGGCTAATATTCAAAATATATAAGGAATTCAAACAATTCAATAGCAAGAAAATAAAGAACCCAATTTAAAAATGGGCAAAAGACCTACACAGACACGACACTGCGCAAAAGAAGATATACAAATAGCCAAGAGGTAAATGATAAAATGCTCATCATCGCTAATCATCAGGGAAATACAGTTTAAAACCACAATGAGGTATCAAAACACACCTGTTGGAATGTGTACTATCAAAAAGATGAAAGATAAATGTTTGTGAGGTTATAACAAAAAGGGAAACATTATACACTCTTGGTGGAAATATAAATTAATACAGCCATTACGGAGAACCGTATGCAGGTTTCTCAGAAAACTAAAAACAGAACTATCATATGATCTAACAATCCCACTTCTGGCCCATGTTCACTGCAGCATTATTCATAATAGCTAAGATTTGGAAGCAACTTAGGTGTGCATCATCAGATGAATGGATATAGAAAATATAGTATTCACCCTTAATAAAGAAGGAAATTCTGTCATTTGTGACAGCATGGATGAACATGGAGAACATTATGCTAAGTCGAATAAACAAGGCACACAAAGACAAATACTGCATGATCTCCCTTATAGGTGGAATCTAAAAAAGTAGAACTCATAATAGGGTAGAATGGTGGTTACCAGAGGCTGGAGGAGGGTGGTGGATGGGAAAAGGGGAGGTATGTTGATCAAAGGGTACAAAATTTCATTTAGACAGAGGAAATAAGCTTTAGTCATCTATTGCATACAATGGTGACTTTAATAAATAAAAATGCACTTTATTTTTCAAAAAAGTTTTTAAAACTTTCCAAGCATGCAAAAAAGCAGAAAATTACAACTCATAATGAGGAGAAAAATCAATCAATAGAAATAGACAACAGAAATGGCACGGATGATAGATTTATCAAAAAAGCCATTAAAAACTGCTATTATAAATATACTCTCTATGTTCAAAATGTGGAATAAAGTATGATCATGTTAAGGAATGACATGGACACTATACAAAAAGACTTAGACCTCTAGAAATGAAAAATATATTATCCGAGATGACAAATAGACTGCATAGTATTAACAGCACATTAGATACTGCAGGGGGAAAAGGTTATTAAACTTAAAGATGTAGCAATAGAAATCACTCAACATGAAAGACGGGGAAAAATGAATATAGCATAAATGAGGCATGACACAACATCAAGTAGCCTAATTAATATACAGGTAATTAGAGTCCCAGGAGGAAAGGAAAAAGGGAGTCAGAAAAAAAAATTTTAAGAAATAAAAGCTCAAAATTTTCCAAATATGATGAAAACTATAAACTCACATGTGCAGAGTTAACACAGTCAGCCTGAGATGGCTATCCTTAGAAAACCCTGCTTGCAAGGTTGGTCCTCACCTAGCTTCCAGAAGCTCAGATTTCAGGGGAGTTTTCATCATTCCTTGAATGATAAGGGTGCCTCACTGTGCCTAAACATGCACACACTATGGTTTATCTGAAGTCTGGAATTTGGGTATATGTTAGACAGAGGGTGCCTACATTACTAGCCCCCTGGGCACTGAGTCTAGTAGGTTCCCCTAGTAGACAACACTTTACACATGTTGTCAAAACTCTTTGCTAGAGGAATTATGCACATCCCATGTGACTCCACTGGGAGAGGACTCATGAAAGACTGCTGATTTAGATTTGTACCCTTTCACTGTAATAAATCATAGCCGTGACTATGACTATATGCTAAGTCCTGAGTATTTGCCTAGTGAATTACTAAACCTGGAAGTGATCTTGGGAACCTCAAAAATACCACAGATTCAAGAAGTTTGACAAACACACCAAGCAGGAAACCATACCAAGACATAGCACAATAAAATTGTTTAAAACCAATAATAAAGAGAAAATCTTAAAATATCAAGAATGAGAATAGCTTAAGGCTTATATGGATAGCAACTCTTGGGCTAAGACAATGAAGCAATGCCTTTAAAACTTTGAAGGAAAATTATTTCCAATCTAAAATTCTAAATAAATTTTCAATCACATAACAAAGTATGATAAAAGCATCTATAATACATACCAAGTCTCAAAAAATTATCTTTCATTAATCACTTCTTAGGAAGCTACTGGAAGATGTGTTCAACCAGAACAAGTGTGAAAACCAAGAAAGAGGAAAACATGAAATCCAGGATAAAGAAGCTCCATGCAGGGGAAAGAGTTGAACAAATTTCCAGAATGATAATGAAGTGAAACCCAGGGTGACAACGTCCACAAAGCAGAGAGGACGCAGAGTTCAAACTGGAGCAGCTAGGAGGCCGTAGGAAAGAGTTCTCCAAGAAAATGAAACTGACAGAATGTCTACTATGTCTGAAATCTTGCCAACAGAGTTAGACAAAAGTGAACAATTATTTTATTAATAGTAAGTAAAACTAGGTGAATAAAAACCAAAACAATTATTAAATCCAGGGGAAAAAAAAATTGTGAAAGAAAAATAATAATAAATATTTGCCCTGGTTATCAATATTATTTATTCAAAATTATGTAAGTGCTGAATATAATCTAACCAAACTTTGATATATTTGTACTAGGAGAATGGAAAGATAGAAAATTTTAGTGTGTAACTGGGGGTGGGGAGTGGGTAAGAAGAGAGTTCAATGTTTATCCATGTTTAGATGTACAGCGTAAGCATGGAATTTAGACATACCAGGGTAAACAACAAAAGAATCCACTAAGATGCAAAAGTGGTTGTTCATTGGGAGGGAAGGGGCAAAAAATACCAAAAGGCTGTGATTAACAAATCTTATAAAGAAAATAAATTTTTGAAATAATTCGTTCTTACCTTGGGAAGCTCAGACAGCCTCCCGTCACTTGTCAGAGAATGACCACTTGCACAAGAAGCGCAGTCTGAGATGTCCACAGCACCCTCGCCATTGTCACATTCGTTACAGTCACTAGCATCTTCCCTGTCACTGTCGATTTCCCAGTCAATAAACTGTAACTCATCTAAAAAATGTAATTTTTATTAATAACATGTATAATTTTACATCTCCTTAATATTTCACTTTTAAATCTATTTTTTATTCTCAGCGGTTAATATATCCATGTCACTGAATAACTGCTAAAAATACATTAGGATAATCGAAAGCATATTTCTATACTTATCTGTATGTAGTCTCCTTGTTTCTCCCATTTCTTACCCCTACCCCAATTCTAAGTTAACTACTCTTAGTTGTTTTTGTGATCCTTGCAGAGTTTCACCAATGTTTAAGCAAATAAAATATATATTATCTTTTCCTCCTTTCTTACACACCTAGATTTTTTCACTTAACATAACTATGAAGTTTTACCATGACAGTAAGGAGTATCCTCATTATTTTCTACAACACGGTATTCTATCATGTAGCTGGACATAGTTTATTTAACTACTCTTCTATTAGAAAATTATTTTTTCATATATTTTCACCCAACAATTTTTTCTGTAGATTTCTTTCATCAGTAAGTAAACAACTAAATTTGGTTTCTAAGTTTATTTCATAAGCATTGTTACGTAGATGCTACTTTTGCAAAATTTTAAGTCTAAATGTTAATGTATTTTCAAATACTAAATAATCCCATGCACTAATTCTAATCTGCTATGCTTAAAAGAATAATAGTAGTTATTAAAGATAAATTTGTCTCTGAGGTGTGGCCTGTAACATAAACCTTTCCTACAGCACAAAGCACAAGTACTCCTTAAGAGCTACGTCAGCAACTCAGAAAGCTAATAAGATATTGGTCCTATTTTGGAGGTCTGTTAACAACGGTCTCGTTTTCAGGGAAGTAATACTAAAAATTAAAAATATACTCTAGTACCTGAAAAGAATTCAAAATTAAAAAAAAAAAGAAAAAATTTAAGCTACAGTTAAAAGTTTGGAATAAAATAAACAAAACAAAAATTATTTAATGTGATATTATTGTTCTAGAAAATGCAGTAAAAGTCCGCTACAATGATTATAACAGACTAGAGGTCAGACCACCACTGAGAGAAGAAGATGCATAATGGCAATCACTCCCCATACTAACACTGTTTATTCAGTCAGGGAAGCCAGGCAGGGGTACAGATTCTTCAAGTTTGTGAACCATCACAGCAGGAAGCCTTGGAGAGCCAAAGGAGGAGCACAAGTGCCCTTAGAGCTGCTGCAAGCACCCCACATTTGTGCAGCACTCTTCATTCATTCACTTGTTCACTCAATAAAGTTTAAATGTCTACTAAGGGCCCATCATACCACTCTAGATACTCACAATACAAAATAAACAAATACAAGAAACAGCACCATTCCTACTGTGGATGAATAACATACTGCAATGTGATGAGAGCTATATACCTGGGTCAAAATAATTTTATGAAACAGGAAGACAATTATTAGTAGACTTAAATTTGCATTTTGTAGATGAGGAAATTGAGTCTCCAATAAGCTATGTTCTCAAAGTTATATGAAAACCAAATGCAAAGGAAAAAATTTTTAAGAGAAAAATATTTTCACAATTTTAACTCAGGGCTCTTCCTTCTCAACTCCAATTCTGGACCTTAAAATCCAGAGACTATAATCCAGTAGGGCTGCAAGAAGGTCTGGGAATATTGCTTTTAGAGCTCACCAGGTAATTCTGATATGAAATCAGGTTTGGTAACCACCAGAACAGTGTTGAAGCACACAGCATTGAAGTTAGACAACCCTGGCTCTAAATATCAACTGGCACACTTATTAATTATGTGACTCTGGGCAAGTTACTTCACTTCTCCAAGTCCCATGTTTCTTCTGTAAAATAAGGATACTTCTTAGCTCACAGGATATGGTAGAAAGCAAAGGAAATAACACATATAACATGCAGCCAAGTGTCTGAGACAAACAAAACTTGATAAATGGTAATGGTTGTTATCCAGTAAAAGTTAGAAGGACGGAAGAAGCGTGGAAGGCAGGGAAGGGAGAAAGTCAAGGCGGGGGGACAGAGAGATAAACCAGCAGCTGTACACAGCTCTATATATATACCCCAAGGAATCGTGCACTTGTTACTAAATGCTCAACTTCTTAACAGAAGTCAACAATATATTAACTCATTTTAAAGCAATTAGCCAAAAGCATCTTTCCATTCTTAAACAGAGTTTTGGAAACTATTGTATATCTCTTTTTACTGAAAAGAACAAACTCAATTTTAATTTTTTTTTTTT